TTTGAAGTTGGTGATTACTGCCTTGAAAATAACTCTTTTCAAGATTTACAGTGTAGTAGATCCCTACAAGATGTAACATCCGTAATCAAATAATTGACCTTCAAAATGAATAGAGGTATTTGAGCGTACTTGTCATCTTCAGTGTTCGTGGATGTCAGAACTGTTTTTTCACTATGTATCAGGCCAAGGAAGAAATTTTGGAACACCAGGATTCGAATTTGTTCAAACATCTCTTCCATTCTAACAGAAAGAAGCGTACCCTTCTCATGGGAGGATTCTGTCCGAGCAGGTACTTTTACTCAGTTGAACACAAGGTTTAAAATTGCGTAAATAAGTCTCGAGGCAGTTTTCGTCCGTGAGGCGTGGCGTAAGCCTCGAAGCGGTGTGAGGCGTAAGCCTCACGGACGCAGAATTGCGTAAATGAGAATTTAAGAGTTTTAGTAGGTAAATAATAGCAAGTTTCTATCATACAATAAAAACATATAAATGATATGTGAAATTAGTGGAAAGTAAAAAAATAGATGCAATAAAATCATATCCCAAAGTACAAAATCACAAAATATTAGTCTATCAAAACTCCCAAAGTACAATTAAGAAAGAACATATAAAATCTAATCATATCCCATCACTAAATGGGTCTTCAAGAGAATCTTCTGCTCCAATTATATCTATGAATGTCATATCTTCATCATCTTCATTGTGACTCACTTTTCTCTTCCTTGTTCAATAAGAATGATTATTATCATGCAATGTTTAAAATTGCGTATTCGGGTATTGATGCATTTTTCATTCGTGAGGAGAGGCGTAAGCCTCAAAATCAAAAGATTGCGTAAACATAAAATGATAATTTTTTTATATACTAATGAGTGAATAATATAAAACATAAAAAAGCATAAGATAAGAAGTGAAATCAAAATATTCCAATAATAAGACAACATGAAATATAGTTCAACTCAAAATTCTATCTTTCCCAAATCTCAATATTCTTTTCTTTAAAATATAATTTCAATTTCCAAAAATAAATAACAATGATATATCACATAAAAACTCATAAGTCATCAGCACTGTCATCACTAAGGGGTTCTTCATTTGAATCATCATTATGATGAACTGCTTTCTCCCCTTCCTCCTCTCCTATAGAGTCCAATGTCGGGCATTTACTTCAAGGTTTATGTAAGTTTTAATATATATAGCGTGAGGCGTAAGCCTCATGCCAGTGAGGCGAGGCGGGCCTCAACCAAGTTGCGGCGCAAGCCTCATAAAAAAAAACTCGAGGCGTAAGCATCGAGGCGTTTTTTACTGGAATTGAGCAAAGGCGAGCCTCAAGGCGAGCCTCATATTGCGCAATTTTAAACCATGGTTGAACAACATCGGTAGAGGTGGTACCATAGCACTATTAGTGTGCGTGATATATTGTGTCGAAATGTCAAACTTCAAAGATCATTTGTATTTTCAAGGACCATAGATATCATAGATGTTTTCTCTTAGACAAAAGGCAAGGAAGAAACTTTGGAACACCAGAAAGTTTAGTTCGAATTTGTTCAAACATCTATTCCATTCTAACAGGAGGTGCCCTTTTCCATATATCGAGTTGTCTTCATACCCAACGTACTTGCAGCATCTCAATCACCGCTGTTGTATGTGATATCTATACTTGTGCCCACAAGGATTCGTTGTACTTACAATATACCCACTGTTGTTATCCACAAGTGCGTTGTATCATCCGTCGTTGCTCATAAAGAATGATTATGTTCACTACAATCTCCCGGACATATTTGTTGAAGAGCCTATTGTACTTACATCACATCCACCTTTCACCAATCTCAAGTGGTATGATGATTATATATATTTGCAAGGATGGGTCTTCCACTATTGATTGCTGGTGTTGCCATCTCAATCTACAGACAAACTTATAAGGATTATTGTAGGAGTCCATTGTATCTATCAACATCATTTGTTGTGTATCATATATTTAGGTATAGATGATTATCCTCATTTGTAGTCACTCATTTTGATAATCATTTATCATCCGTATTCCTTGGAGTCTTTTTTCATCAATTGCCAATGTCACCCTCTCAATCTACAGGGTAGCTGTTGTTTGCGTGGTGGGTCTTTGATTTCTACATGTGGGTAGTACTCGTGCACTGCAATTGTCTGTTATTGCTTAAAAGTATAGTGCATTGACTTTGTAGGGATAGTTGTAGGAGTCTGTTGCATTCATAAGTATAATCCACTATTTATTTTGTCTCATGTATTCATAGGTTTTGATAATTAAGGTTTGTTTTTAATTGTTCAGATATTGTGAATGGATTACTGTTCATTGTTTGTATGCATCGAGATCCTGTTTGCCACGAGTCCCCTGCTATTTGCTTGTATTTGTTTGAATGCATTAGATTGTTATTTGGCACTTGAATTTAGATCTTGATTGCGCATTTTAGGACTTAGGTTCCACTTCTTGTAGTTCAGTTCATGTCCAAGTCCTCTATTGTACGTACAAGTCCTCTGAACATTTAGTTCAAATTCTATACATTCATGTCTAAGTACGGGTCCTCTTTATTGTTACCCAAGTGAGGTCTTCTTATTGTTCAAGCTTTATGTACTTCAGTAAAAATTTCGACAACACCCTGACATATCCTCTGTTTGGGGGATATGTAGGGGAGCTGGGCATTCTCACCACGCTACTCGAGCATGTATGGTAGGTGTCCTTAGATACCACGGCCGTACATCTTTTCATCCCACCACGCTACAAGAGCATGTATGGGGTCTTCAACAGTACCCATACGAGAACACCAATGAGTTCCCCACCATGCTATAAGAACGTGTATAGAGCTTACCCGTCTCGCCGCATGCGTCTCACCGGGCTACCTCCTTCCGTGCTACGAGAGTGCGTATAGGTGGTTCTCCGATCCGCCGCAAACGTCGAAAATGGGATTTTAGAACATTATACCTTGCATGGCAATGCCGACAGTGTTGATGTCGAGGTCGATGACTGTCCCCACCACGGTACAATAGCATGTATAGGGCTTCCTCGCATCGTCACACTTGTTGCATTGGATTCCCCTAGCATTTTAAATCCCTTGGCCTGGCGGATTTACGGGATTTGGCCGAGCGGATTTACGGGATTTGGCCGAAGAAGCGCTCGAAGGGAAGAAAGATACCTTCACATAGACCTGTCAATATTGGACCCGACCCGAAAACCCGACCCGAACCCGACCCGAAAATTTCGGGTTTGGGTTGACCCGAACCCGAAGCGGGTCGGGTTCGAGTCTGAAAAACCGACCCGTTTGCAAAACCGGGTCGAGTTCGGGTTGACCCGGAAACCCGAAAATAACCCGAATTGACCCTAAAACCCGACCGCCTGCCCGGCTGCCCAGGTCTCGTAGCGTCGCGTCGCGTCCCCAGGCATGCATTTCGTCGTGTTTGGCGTCACCGCGTCAGCCCATCTGCCGTCTGCCGTCGCACCACCCGTCCGGCGTCCACCCCGCTGTCTACCTTGAGAGCATGAGCTCTCGTTGTTACTTTTGATCAAAATGTAATGACTTCCGATCCCACAGGTAAGGGAACGTCGCCGGAGGAAGAAGAGAAGTGCACGAAAGGACGAAAGTTACCTTCACTGCCCGCGAGCTCCTGTGGTTGCTTCCGATCGAATGTCGTTAACTTCGGAATCGACAGGAAAGGAACTTTGACGAAGGAGGTCGACGTAGCAAGAGAGGTCGGCCTTCGCTGCAGATAAGCTCCTGTTGTCGCCCTTGCTTCCGATTCAGCAGAAGAGCGGCGGGAGGTGTGCGGGAGGAAGGAAGAACAGAGGTAGTGGAAGAAGGTTTCGAATGGGAGAATGATCGGAGAAAGGGGATGCGATTCCTGGAGTTCGGTCGTGTGCCTCCCACCAAGCCGAAGGCTTTCTTTCGCTTTCCTTTTAATAACCGAGAGCAAACGACGGGCCTAGGATGACGATAGTGGGTAACACGACATCGACGTGTGTAGGATGTCCAGAGATGGATACGCGGGATTTTGTCTGCAGAGAGCAGAGTCAAGCAGGTACAAGTGTTTTTTTTTATATTGTACGCAGGTCAACACTAATTCATGTTAAATATAGAAAAAAAAATAAAATAAAAAATAAAAGCTTTATTTCACACTTACAATTCAATCACCAGACAGCCTGAAAAGGTTCTTCACGATCTAGACTTATTCAAATAATTTTAAATTTGTCGAACTTACAGAAAGGGACTGAGCAATTTCACAATCTGGATAGGGTTTCCACCCGTTAGACTGTGTGCCAGTTGAGCTCTTGCGATTCTCTCTTTTGTGTTGCATAATGGCCATCTGGATTTCTCTTCTCAGGTCCCCCTTCAAGTGATACCACGAAGGCCTCATGGTTTTAATGTCTGCAACCTTTATTCTGGCACATTAACTTCACTAATGAAAGGATTTATAAGTTGTTCACTGAAGCGGTGTTCCGCTGGCAATTCAACCAATACTCTGCCACAAGCTTGGAAAAGTTAGAGTTTTTTATATCCATCAAGTTTGACGGTTTGTCATACTCCACAATTTTCCCTGTCAATGATGCACACCATGAAGTTAGTCATAATTGTTGATAACTTAATTCATTTAATATTGTTCTAGTTTACTTTTTATTAAGAAAGGAGAGGTAGAAAGAAAGATTGATTGATCATGTTTTTATTTCTTTGGCCATTGCAACCATCAAATGGCGTGTTCTAGTTTCTTCTTCATAAATCCTTTTTTTTTTTGGTAAAAGATGGCTTATTTTTCATTTGCTTTTTATGAATGTGGAATGACAATATGCTTGAAAAAAAAATCTAAAATTTCCATCTGAAACAATAAGAAAGCACTTCCAAGTTAGTGCTTGATTCCTAGCTTTGATTTAGGATGCGTAAAAATGTTTGAAATGTTGCTTATATTTCTTACCATAGGAGAGCACCATAACCATGTCACTATCTATTACTGTTGGAACTCTGTGAGCTATTGTTATCACTGTACAGCTGGAGAACTCCTTCCTGATAACCTTTTGGAGTATGGCATCCGTGGCTGAATCAATAGATGCAGTTGCTTCATCCAGAACTAAAATTTTGTTTTTACGAAGGACAACTCTGCCGAGACAGAAGAGCTGGCGCTGCCCAATGCTCCAATTTTCACCATCATCGCTCACTTTAAAAACCAAGATACTGTGAGTTTTATCAATTTTAAATGTGATTTAAATTAACTTATATTGAAGTCCGACAGTTTGAACCAACCTGTTGAATCAAGAAGGGCCGGAAGTTTACTTATAGTAGACTTAAGCTGGCACTTTTCTAAAGCCTGAAATTATTGAACAGACCAAGAAAAAAAACGTAAATTTAAGTATTAGAGTAGCAAAGTGGTCAAAATGAAAATAATATGTAAATTGCTAAAAGAGAAGTGAGAGAGCCCAATGACTGGAGTTCACTTGTTGTGTGGTCTATATATGCTGAACTAGTTGTAAATCCTCTAATTTACCATATTGATCATTTCAAATGAGATGCAACAAATTACTTCTAAACACAGACGAAGGTCTTCCCTCCATATTGTTTAACAAAGGTCATTGATTTGCACTCACCTCCCATATCTCAAGATCAGTGTGCATTCCAAGAGGATCCAAGTTGCTTCTGACACTGCCCCTAAAGAGGGTAGGCTCTTGAGGAATTATGCTGAGCTTCATTCGCAGATCTTTTAGACCCATGGAGCAAATGTCCAGATTGTCAATAAGGATGGTTCCACTAGAAGGCTCCACCAATCGAAATAGAGCACTTATAAGAGTTGTTTTCCCGCTTCCTGTTCTTCCAACCACACCCACTTTATATCCTTCCTTCATAGTGCAAGTGATGCCTTTAAGAACAAAGGGAGCAGTTGGGCGATATTTTATCTGCAAGCATATGAGAGAAGTTAATTGTGAGAAGGTGGTATTATGATGACTAGGCAATAACAACACTTAAAAAACCAGATAAATACTTTCTCAATCCTCACCTTAAGATCTTGCAAATCAATCCTTCCTTGCTGTGGCCATGATGGTGATGGCCTGTTCTCATAAATGATAGCTGGTGGTTCTGAAGGAATATGCATGAATTGTTTGATTCTCTCCACGGAAATGACATAATTTTCGATATTGGAGTAACACCGAGTTGCAAACACTTGAGCTGAAGATAGTGTAAGAGCATAGGAAATGCAAAGACCGGAGAACCCTGTGCCATTTTTGAGTTAATTAGCTTTCTCTTGGGAAGAAAAAGGCATCGTTATTAGGGGAAAGAAAAGAAGTAACACGATTTACTATCAATTAACCTGGGGCAATGGCTCCCTGAGGAAGTAAAACAAGGAATATAGTAGAGGTAAGTACTGTCAAACATTGAAGTGCTTCTACTCTCAAAAGCACCCATTCCATGGCAGCAACAGTGTGGAAAAATAGTTTTGCATCTGTATCAATAAGTTTTAAATTTGTATGGAAGAACCTTTCGACTACCCCAAAAGCTCTAATCGTGACAACTCCAAGCAAAGATTCTCCAGCATAATTCATGACGGGTGCTTTTGTCGTCCCATTGATCCTCACCAATTCCCTTGCTGATGCTAGATAATAATTCTTCAAGATTCGGCAATGATCAATGATACAATCGGCATTAGATATATTGTTTAGTTTCGTGCATCATCTCTAATTGTTTAAGTAAATATAAAAATGTTAAAGACAGTCTGGAATTGAGATTCACCTGAACCCAAATCGTAATGATTATTGCTGGAATAGCTACAACCAGAACTTGCCAAGTCACTGTTGCTATTATCACTGTTATTGTCACAACATCAATTGCACCTACCAGCACAAATGAAATAGAATACGGTATATCAAAGTCGACGATACTCAAATCTGAAGATGCCTGCATAGATGATTGATGATTTTATTAGTCATTGAATCTGAAGATCTGAGATGACTAATCATTACTTGCTTAGCATGCATGTCTAATTTGACAGCAAGAAATATTTGTTGGTGTATTCTAACATCAAGTATGTGTGATGATGAGAAAACTAACCCGAGTTAAGATCCTTCCTAATGGGGTAGAATCAAAAAATGTCATGGGAGCCTTGAACACTGAATCCATGAAGCTAGAAAAAAATTCTTTGGATGCTTTCAGTCCAAGATGTGCTATTAACACGCTTCTAGCACATAAGAAGATACAGCCTACGAGGGAAATTGCTGAAAAAACTCCAACTAACATGCCATCACTTTTATGACGAATCTGGATGGCTGCAGCCAACCAATAATTTGATAGACCCTGAAGAAAAATAAAAAATGATTGAAAGATGATCATTAAAGCAAGTAGAAATGATCCCTTTGAAATCTGGATGTAATCTTTGTATGGCTTCCAACCAGCATTCCCTATCTCCATTTCCTCATCTTCTGTAAGCTGCACTGCTGATATACTAGTGACTGTGATCTCTCCTTCGCTGTTGTGTTTCGTAGGCTGCAACCTGTTTAATTGTAGGTGATCTGCTGCTATAGTTGTTTTTCTGTTTTCATTATCTGTAGAATTTATTGTTGTAATTGAAGACTGATGTGCTGTAACTAGCTGCTCAAATGCTGTTCCTGACTTTAGAAGTTCTTCATATCTTCCTGTTTGTATAATTGTTCCTTCTTCCATAACCTAGAGAAAGAAGCCAAAATTATCAGATCTACTTTGTTAAGATAGTTTAGTTTGTGAAAGAACTCTGCTTACCAGGATCCTGTCCGTTTGAGGAAGAAATTCTACTTGATGAGTTACTAGAATGACAGTCTTCTTTTCTAGGGCAGTCATGACACAATCCTGCAATTTATGCCAATGAAATCCCAATTCGTATCAATGAGTAAGATCTTTCATGAACTACTTTATACATTACAGTGAAAAAAAGCTTGCAACATTCTGCCAACTTACTCATATAAAGAAAAATGAATGTATGAAGTTATAATGTCAAGCATCAATAAATTATGTTTTTTTGTTTCCATCAGTTTTTCTTAAATTATCGTCGTAGCTAGGGGTGTCAAAGCAACCGCGGGCAGCGGTCACGACTCACTGACGCAGACGGCTGGCCTGACGGCTGACGCGATGGCATGCCTTACCGGGTCAAAAACGGGTTGATTGTGGGTTTCCGTGTCAACCCGAACCCGACCCGGTTCGGGTTCGGGTTGACCCGAACCCGAAATTTTCGGGTCGGGTTTTCGTGTCGTCTCAAATATTGACAGCCCTACTCGTAGCAACACTTTTTCATATATAGAAGAAATCTGAATAAGCCTAATAGACACGAGCTGATGGAACCTATTCAACTCAAGAAGTCTTGGGTATTAGGAGTTATTTTTCAATGTTAATAATGTTCTTTCTTTTATGTAATTCTAGTAAGAAGCAGGTCAAACTAAACTCGTAGGCTTTGTTATTCACAGGCCTATTCAGATTTTGTCCAGCCAATCCCATTATGTTCGCTTGGCTACTTTACAAAGCCAATAGATTACAAGTACCTAAATTTTATTATTTCACATCCATCTAGGTACATCTTCCCACTGATGTCTATCTCAACTAAGCCTTTTTGAGTTTTTGTTACTTACATGAAAGAGGATTGATGCTGTATGTGCATCAACGGCACTGAAAGGGTCATCTAGTAGATAAATATCGGCATCGTAGTAGACAGCTCTAGCCAATTGAATTCGCTGTTTTTGTCCTCCACTCATGTTTAGTCCTCTTTGTCCTATCTCTGTAAGGTCTCTATGATCAAAATTCTCTATATCCTTCTCCAGTGCACAGCATCTGATAGCGTCCTGGTATGCTTTCTTGTTCATTGGCTTACCATAGAGTATGTTGTCACGCAGTGTTCCACTCTGAATCCAAGATGTTTGTGAAACATAGGCAATGGAACCATTCAAATCAACCTGAATATAGCTAAAATCTTGTTAGTGTTACCAAAGTGGTTATTTTTACCCTTAAAGATATTTATTTTCATTGGAAGGTTTAAGAACTTACCGATCCACTGATTTTAGGTATCTCCCCTAGCAGAGCATATAATAGTGATGATTTTCCAGATCCAACTGATCCACAAACAGCAATCTTTTGCCCTTTCTCTATCTGCAAGTTTATGTTCCTTAATGTAGGGGCAATTGAAGTCTGTTCCCAACTAAAGACACCATTGCTCACTTCAGCGACAAGATTCAAATTTTGTAGGGAGCTTCTCTTCTCATTTTCTTCTTTAACTTCATCCTCTTGCAGAAAATTTTCAATTCGGTCTAAGGAAACCTTCGCTTGGATCAATACAGATAGAACCTCAGGAAGCATCCTTACTGGCTCAGCCATAACTCTAAGAGTTGCTAGAACCGTGAAGATGGTACCTGCATTTAGAGGAGCACTTCTCATGATTGCTGTCCCAGCAAAAATCACTACAGAAACAACTGTGGGTGATATCCAATATAGTGCTGCTCCGCTTGACTTTGTCAACTGAGTTTTTCTCAACCATTTAAATTCAACACCTCTCAGTTTTTCAATTGTATTTCTGAAATTTTCTTCCCATGACTGTAATTTTATAATCTTCATATTGTTCAGGACTTCAGATGTAGCTCTTAGTCTCTCGTCTTGAGCAACCATGAACTGTGACTGAAAGTGCTGCAACATCTTTGCAACAGGAACGTTCATGAAGCCAAAAATAACCAAAGGAACGATACCTGGAAGGGCTCCCATCCCTACAGTTCCAAAAAGTATGGCTACTGAAAAGAGGAGTTGGAGAGGAAGGCTCCATGCCATGTGAAACCACCATGGAAAATCTCCAAGTCTATATGCATCTACAGCAATGTAGTTGACAATCTCACCTGTAGAATGTCTTAACCTTCCCTGGCTTGAAATCTTAAGCTCCTTCTGGTAAAGGGCTGCCATTAGTGCAGATCTCATCCTCATTCCATACCTTCTTGAGTCGAAGAACCAATGCCTCTGCGATAAAGATTCGACCACCTTGACTATTATCAAGCATCCTACTAAAGCCAGGCCTTTGCTTAGTTCTTTGTGCTCAAGGTTTGAGTACCACACAAATGCATATAGGATCAAAGGAGAAACTGCAATGGAGATTGATTTCAGAAGTGCATAAAAACCTACTAATAACATTTCCTTCTTGTAACATTTTGCCAATGCCAAAAGGACCAAGTTCCTCGTCCTCTTTTTACTGCTCCTGAGAAGATCCCATTCTCTGGTGAAAATATTATAAGCATGAACTGCTTCATCTTCAGCGTCCAATGACGGGATGTCTTTGAGCTCTAATGTTTTTGAATGGCCCAAACGAAGTAAGGGATTTAGCCAAGAAAAGATTAGGCGGCTAAAGAAACCAGCTCCACTAAGATTTGAACTGCCATTAACTTCTTCCAGTAAGGCCTGGGATAAACTTTCGTTTGAATGTTTACCATCAATTTTACTTTTGATGATTAGTTTCAGAGCATAGTAGAGCAGCAGCAAGTTTACAAACCATTGTATGATATCGAGTATAGGAAGGCTATGATTTTTAACAAAATCCTTGACATTAGAGGCTGTAATAAGAAGCCCAAATGATGACCACCAGATCAGATTGATGGCTTTCAACCATTTATTAGGATGAGCATTTACAGATACTGACAAAACAACCCAGATTACTCCCCTTATAGAGAGAACTAGCATTTGATCCCAGTGAATATATTTGCTTTCCTTGAACAAAATCCAGCCAGTTCTACTAAAATAAGCGACACCAATGACTATGCAGAGGATTGAAATACTAATGGAATCCCAGCTCCTTATTCTATTCTTATTGATGATATTATACTTTTTGCATGCTGATATCAGCAAAGCCAGCAAAAAAATCAGTAGAAAGAGAAGGTTAAGAACATCTATTAATAGTCTCTGCGTGCAGGAGGAACCCAAGTCAAAGCTCTCTCCTGAACACATCGAAGGGAACCATCCTGCAACTCAAATTCAAGTGAAGATTCACATTAAATGCCAGAGTAAATACAACAAGCTCAAAAAGGTGATGGTGATCAAAAACAGAATAAATTAAATGAAGAATATCAAACTTTTATTGAAACTATTATCATGAACTTATACCAGGGTAAGAAAAAGTGAAAACTGTAGAAGAGAAGGAGAAGAAACTGCCACCCTGAAAGCTCCAAAGAGCAGCCATTTTTTTTTTTCCTCTGGTGATGCCTTCCCTATTTTGCTTGCCAAGTCTAAGTTGGTCTCTTGCAGTTCCTTGCTCAAAGGCTCTTCAAAAAAGCTAGAGAAACAGCAATGGTTACAAATGAGTAAGCCAAAGATAACTCCTTGCGATTTATATTGTTCCTTTTCAGTCTTCCATTCCTTAATTTTGTCTCTTCAAGTTCACCTAATACTATGCTTCAAAGACGAGTACATTATGTGATTATGATAATTTAATTCAGATAGATGCCAAAGGAATTCTATGACTACTGTTCAAACTTGTATTTTTAATCAACTAAACACGCTATCTCAGCTTATAGCTTTACGCAAAAGCTTCCTACTATAATTTTCTCAGCTTATAGCTTTTACGCTATCTTAAAACTTTATTTATTTACTTTCATATTAAATTTTTTTAATACTAAATTATTGTATAGAAGAATAAGATCTATTAGAATATGATTTGGGAGTTGAGTTTTGATGATTAAAATTGACAGCACCTCAACAACATTATTTCATAAAACGATCTTAGGGGGATTTAGAGCTCATTTGGAATGGATGTAGCTTTTTGTAAATGTGATTATAAAGCTGCTGTAGCGAAAGTGATTTTTTCGAAAGCTATTCTAAAAAAAAGAACTTCCAAGTATAATTTTTTCTTAAATTATAAAAAATAATAGCAAAATAAAAATTATGACCGTGATATGATCAAATAGAAAATAGTAAGAAAGTCATCCTGAATGAAATCTTAATAGATTTAAAATGTGGCATATAGTAATATTTTTTTCTTGTGATGTATATCATTTACTAAGAGTCATGAGTGGACAGCTTCATGTGAAAGACATGCAAGATATTGCATAGGTTCAATAATGTTTCAATTTCTATAGCCATTGTACATAGTGATGCACACACTCATAAATTTATTTGTCTCATTCTTTCAATTATTTTGCTATCATTGCATTCATTTCTAATTGATTTCAGTTGAAAATAACCTAAAATTCATCATTATTATTATTATTATTATTATTCATTTTGATTGGTTTGAGTTGTTCAGCCAAAATTCTAGATAAAATTTTAGATGAAAATAAATAATTTTAATTGAATAAAATTTCAATAAAATTCTTAACAATAATTATCAGAATTCTATTATGACTCTACCATTGAGATGCCTTCATAATTTATGTGTCCTTTAAGTTGAAACTTCTATTCAAAGGTTTATTTGGAGCTACTTTGATTTGCATTTCATACCACAATCTTATTTTCGTTCGGCTATTGTTTTCTTATTGAATTTTTGTTGTTGTGTAGTTACTTTTCGGAAATTTTGTACTGAAAATTTTATTTTTTTCAATCAGATCTGTTAATTTGTAGCAGCTATAAGAAAATTATTGTCCGACTTTAAAAAAAAAAAATTTATAATACTCATAACAGATTCAAAAAAGACTATTTTTTCATGATAGTTTTGCAACCATTTTTATTAATTAAATAATTTAATTAAATAAAATTTCAATAACATTCTTAGCAAGCATTGAGATTTCATCATAATTTGTGACTTTTAACTCGAAATATCTTTAAGGGCCTGTTTGGGATAATTTTTTTGCTGCTTTGATTTTCACATCACAATCACATGTACGTTTAGCTACTATTTTCTCGTACATTAATAATATATAGAAGATGTTTAAATATATATATATATATATATATATATACAATATCATCATTAAACATATTCATAATTTCATTAATTAAAAATTTTATAGCCTATTTTAATTAATTAAAATTTAGTTGTTAAAGTAATAATTAGTTTAATTATCTATTAATAAGTTTAACTTATTATTCTATTAATAACATTAATATTAATATTAATAACTTTAAATTATTATTCTATTAATAAATTTAGTATTATTAATATTATTAATAACCTTAACTTTCCTATTAATCATTTTAACTTATTATTTTATCAACAAATTTAACATTAATATTAATAACTTATTTTTTTTCTAGAATTAGTTTATATAAATATAAAATAGTTTACGGTTTAACATATTTTACTTCATAGCAGAATGGTTGACACCCTGAAACCGAACAAAATAGGTCTTGCGTTCAATTTCCCCCGTGGACAGGCAGGCAGGGGTAGGTCCGGGGTAGCTGGGTAGCGCGCGCGGGCAGAGGCAGATTGGCCCATGGTAGTTGTGCGGTTTTTTTTTTTCAAAATAAAAATTTTCGTTATTCCGGTGGCTTTTTTCCACCAAACAACATCCAAAAAAATTCTGCCGAAATTTTTTTCGGTGGTTTTTATTCGATAGAAAATTTTTCCGACACTCTTTTTACTGTTGAAATTTATTTCGCCGGAAATGCGCTATAAAACTTTCAAATCCGTCCGAAACTTGACAATTTTTCGTCGATAATACGTGTTTTTTTGTAGTGCATTTTAAAAACGAGTCCGGTTTGAGTCCTCATTTTCGACCCAATTTAAATTATGGGTCATGTTCATGTAAACCCGAAAAACTGATTTTGACCTGAAAACTGGGGTTTGACAGGTCAACCCGAGTACACAGACTTTTAAATCAACTAAAAATCACATCTTGGATCGATTCCTTCGCGGATGTTGCGTTCCTAGAAGAAGAAATCTTCGCGTAGGAAAGGAACGGGGAAGTGGCACTCTGGCCTTTAGAGCTTGATGCGGCTCATAGTAAACTCTTCTCTGGTTGTGCTCTTCGGCAAAACAGTGAACGACAAAGGCAGGAAAATAGAGGATTGTTTCCGTCAGCAAGAATCAAGTGTCGTCGATCGTCGCGAAACTGAACGCCGACGATATCCGTTGCCTGATTTCTCTTGAACTGATGAAAGATCCGGTGACGGTCTCCATGGGCCAAACTTGCAACAGGTTTTCTATTCTCCGGTGGTTGAAGTTCGGGAACCAGACTTGCCTTGTAATTGAAGAGGTGCTTACAAGTGCCGACCTCATCCCCACTTCCATCATTCGATAGCTCATCAGGCTTCACTACCATGAAAATGGCATTCTGACTGCTCAACAGGGTAACGCATGAAAGAGGGATTTATCAAAGACACTCTCCTCTGCTTCTCCGGCGGCAGTTCGGCAAAATGGTAAACGGCAAGTGTCAACCTCTTGCGATTTGAGGAAGAAACCAAAGCCTCCTTAGATGGAACAATTATTACGTCATCTCACCTACGTCCGTCCGGTCAGAGGCTTGTTACTCAATTTTTGTTGGGTATTTGATTGGTATTGATAGGTATTGTTAGATAATATGGAGGAATACCGCTCTAAGAAGACCAATACCGAGTTATACCGAGCAATACCGAGTTATATCAAAAAATACCGAGAAAAAACTCGGTATAACTCGATATAACTCGGTCTTTCGTCTTCACCTAATGATATTTTCTCGTTATTATTGGTATTGCTCGGTATTTGCTCGGTATTTCTTATTTTGTGCATGCAATCTTAGTGCCGGCCGGACGTAGCTCTACGTACGTTCACCGGACCAAATAAAAGTTCCCTTAGATGCCGTTCCTTTCAGTCGGGTCGGCGGCAGCTTGTCATTTTTTCGTTGGATGGGAAGTACGGAGGACGACAGGTTGGCGGGTCGTGTTGAGTTAATCCAGGTTCAAAGTGGGTCAGGTTTAAGAAAGTTACCCATTTCTAAAAATGGGTCAGTTCGGGTCGGGTCAACTAGTGTCAAGTCATTTTCGGGTTAGATCTGAACCCGACCCATGATTCGATTTTGATAGCCCTAATTGGAATAATATTTAATTTTTTAAATAAAAACTGATGTATGCATAATGTGTTCTTAGGGCATCAACACTCTTACCCATATATAAAAGCACCTCTTAAGTGGAGAATAATCATATTTAGTACTTTTGGTTACATAAAAGGTTTGAACTTCTAATGACCTTATTGGCATAGTAGTTGTATTAGATTCAGCCTATGTTAAGATATGTCAGATTCGATTGGGTTCGAGAAAATGACTCGTTGTTAAAAATGAGTCGGGTTCAAGTCGGGCCAACTAATGTCAAGTCAGTTCCTGATTAGACCCAAATCTGACTTGTCTTTTTGACAGCCCTAATCGAAATAATATTTAATTTTTTAAATAAAAACTAATGTATGCATGATATGCTCTTCGGGCATCAACACTCTTACCCATATATAAAAGCACCTCTTAAGTGGACAATAATCTTATTTAGTACTTTTGGTTACATAAAACATCGAACTTCTAATGACCTATTAGGTAGAGGTAGACCAAAAAAGACTTGTTAGAAATTGTTAAAAATGCCCTATTTTCTATTAGATTTAAATAAAAATTTATCTCTTAATATGAAACAATAGAGAAAAAAAAAATTCAAATAGCCAGCCCCAAACAGTGTGATAAAAACTTGTTGTTGTTGTTAAATTATTTTCTCTAATATATGATCTTCTTTTGCACATATTTTCATCATTTTCTTAGAAGATTATTTGATGTCAAAAGAAGAGAACAATCTTTGAGGCAAGCAAAATGACAATAAGTAGCTTAACAAGCCTCATTTAAACTACTAAATGGTGTAAAAGTTAGATCCTTACCTCTCCATAAAGGATATTTATATGCATTTCCTTCAATATTTTTGTAGCTTTTGTGCTGGTTTCGCATGGATGATCATTAAGACTTCAATAAACAATCTGAAATTATATAAAAGAAAATATGATCACTAAAAGAACATTTTGAGCTATCAAAAACCAAATATGGTTGAGAAAATGGGGAGATTAGCCTGAAAGCATCATTTCGTTAGGCTCATTTGATTCTTTTTAAATTTGATATATCGCATGTTCATTTTGCTATTTACAAAGCATCATTTCGTTATGCTTTGTTTGGGACGGCTTAAAGCAGTTTTTTAGTACTAAAAAGCTGTTTTAAGAAGTAGGAAGAAAGTTGTTCCAAACGAAGCCTTAGGACGACTTTCTTCTTGCTTCTTGAAGTGGCTTTCCAGTACAAAAATTAAAATGTTTGTACTAAAAAGCCGTTTTAAGAAGCAGAAAGAAAGCCGTCCCAAACGAAGCCTAAATCTCATCGTACAGTTCTCCTCTACTGTTCATTTAAAAAACAAACTTGGAACTTCTATCCTAAATCCTAAACCGTAAACCCTAAACATGGATTGGTGCTTTATGGCCAATTTTCTTCCCTTTCCAAAATTTCTTACCATGATGAATTCCTTTGAAATTTCTGTAATTTGATTATACTTTTAAGTAATTTGTTCAAAGTCAAACTCAGGAGCCAAAGTCAAC